TCGAGCCAGGGTTTGGGGTTTAGGGTTTAGGGTCACAGAGAGAAGAATTTGGGGTTTAGGGTTTAGGGTCACAGAGTTTAGGGTTTAGGGTTTAGGGTATGAACATAACGATAAATTGAATGCTAGAACCGAAACCCTGTCCCCAAAACGAAGAAATCAATCGAGCTCACGAGGCTTAAATCCCGCTAAGATGTTGGAAACTGCGGCCATATGCCTGAAAAACATATCTTAGAGGTTCATAATTATAGGGTTCAAGCTGGGGATTTAGGGAACCTAAAAGTAAACGAGAACACATTCCTTCTTTGGCCTTCGCCCTCGGACGGATATGTCCCCAGGCAAGCCTTGTGCAGGATGTGAATCTACCAAGCGTGGCCAACCACCTGATAAATATAGGGGCCTTGATAATTGGAATAAGGTTTTGGGGTACATGAGACAACATTCATAAAACAACATTGGGACAGGCAATTATGTAGGCCCCTACAATGCACCGTCAATCAAGGATACCCGCAAAAGTGGAGTATTCTAAGTCTTGTCTTAGGAGTATACCTGAGATATCCTAAACTCACCCCTGAAGCCTAAACCCCTAACTTCTAAACCGTGACCCTATAAGCCCTAAATAACCCCAAGCCCTGTACCGGGGGACCCCTAGACCCTAAACCCTAAACCCTAAACCCTAAACCCTAAACCCTTCAACCCCCCAACGTAAACCCTGTACCCTGGATCCCTAGGCCCTCAACCCAAAACCCGAAACCCTCAACCCAAAACTCTAAACCGAGTTTAGGGTTTAGGGTTTAGGGTCCTAAACCCTAAACCCTAAAACCTAAAACCTAAACCCAAAACCCTAAACCCAAAACCCTAAGCCCTAAGCCCTAAGCCTAAGCTAAGCTTTGTTTCGAGTTCCCGGGACCACTAAGGAGACATTGGGGCTTAAGAAAAGGGGCCTTAAGACTTAGAATAGGGTTTAGGGTTTAGGGTTTAGGGTTTAGGGTTTAGGATTTAGGGTTTAAGGGGCCTTAAGAATTAGAATAGGGCTTTGGGGCCCGATATACTAGAATTGTAATAATAACCCAGACCCCCAAAAGGATCTAAAAGATAGATCCCCTAAGGGGGTTCCTATAAATTACCCTTTAGGGTCCCTAATTAGGGGATCTATTTTTAGATCCTTTTGGGGGTCTGGGAAGGAACCCCCAAGCTCCCCCCCAAGAAGGTCGCCGGAGCTGCGGTTGCTGCCAGGTCTGCCCTTCAGCTGCTCGGCTTTGGAGTACCATACTTTAATACTTTTTTGGGGAACCTCTTCCTTAAAGGAACCATTATGAAATAAAAGTCTATGCCTTTTTGGGGGGACCTGTTCCTTAAAGGAACCATTATGAAGTAACAGTCTATACTTTTTTGGTGGACCTGTTCCTTACAGGAACCGTTATGAAATAAAAGTCTCTATTTTTTCTCCCTGGTTACTTCAAAGCCCAGGCTGTGGATGGCCACTGGGTCTCTGTTAAGTGGCTTTCGGGCTTGGAGGGTTTAGGGTTTAGGATTTGGGGTTTTGGATTTAGGGTTTAGGGTTTAGGGTTTAGGGATTGGGGTTTCGGGTTTGGGTTATAGGATATGTAGGGGCCTTAATAATTAGAATACAGGGTCTTGGGGTATGTTACACTATAAGAGTATAGGTCATTATTAAGGCCCCCATAGCATAGGATTAAGTGTAGAGCTTGGGGCCCTCATCTTGTCTTGATTATGTGGGTTATTACTATTATTACGACTATGATTATGATATTGAAAATGTCGTTGTTATTATTGTTCTTATTGTGATTCTGATTGCTGTCACGAAGAATAGTATGCCAGTTCTAGTGCCCTCCAGGACCTCCAGCTATACAATCAATATTCTACACCCAGGCCATAGTCGATCTTATACGACCCCTACTACATTAAGCGTTGCACAGGGGTCTTTACAAGGGTATATCAGGGCTAGGGATATCAAGGTTGGCTTGCTTCTACGTAAGCTTAATATCCAGCGTTGTTTGGGCGTCACAGGCGGCTGCATGTGGGTTATGTAGCAGTATCTTCGGGTTTAGGGTGTAATCTAGGATAACTTCCCATCATGGTAGTATATGGGCAGTTAAACAGTTTTTCTGCATGGAATAAACCTGAAACCCTAAACCCTAAATTGTTCTCATATACTTAAACCTTAAAGGTCTCAAACTGAAGTTCCTCAAACCCTAAAGACGAACCTTATAAAGGTCCCCTACTGTAGTGGGCTTAGGGTTTAGGGTCTCCTACTGTAGGGTTTAGGGTTTAGGGTCCCCTACTTTAGGGCTTAGGGTTTAGGGTCTGTTGCTGTAGGGTTTAGGGTTAGGGTTTAGGGTTTAGGGTTTAGGGTTTAGGGTTTAGGGTTTAGGGTTTAGGGTCCGGATGAAGCTCCTGAGTGCAGGCAGAGACTCCGGCCCGAGAGTGGCTCCTTTGCGTGGGCGCCCAGGGTTTAGGGGCCCTAAACCCTAAAACCCAAATTCCTAAACCCTGAGACCCTAAACCCTAGACCCTAAACCCTAAAACCCTAAAACCCTAAACCCTAAACCCCAAAACCCTAAACCCTAAACCCGTTTAGGGGCGTGGGTTTAGGGTTTTCAGGGGGTTTGGGATAGGGTTCCAGGTGTTCTGGGGATGTTTGGGTCTTGGGGCATTTTGGTTCAGGGTTGAAGGGCGGAGGCTTCAGGGTCTACCCAGACACCCAAAAGGATCTAAAACATAGATCCCCTAAGGGGGTTCCTATAAAGTACACTTTAGTAGTTAGGATCTTCTTTTTAGATCCTTTTGGGGGTCTGGGTAGGGATTGAGGGTTTACGGCGAAGGGCTTTCAGCTGCCCTCTTGAGGTTCGAATGGGCCGTTACAGTAGAAGTTGGCTGTCTACAGGGTTCTTACCACAGGGGCTCATTTTTTTGCAATGACCTTGTAACACTTTGTTTGAAGATTCGTAAGCAGCAAGGAGTCTACCCCCCAAGACCCTCTAATCATTCAGGTGGGTGGTTACCTTTATAGGAGTCTTATAGAAGGTCTATATACCTTGTGGAAGCTTTATAGAAGCCCTACATACCCCAAACTCCCCACCGCTGGTTTCCTTTAATTCAGGCCCATCAAGGCCCCTCTGCGATGTAACTGTCAAAGCCAAGGCGTCAGTCACATCAGGACCTGGACCTGGATACCCAAAACCCTGCAAGCAAGAATCGTGGGACTGAGGGCCTGGGATCCTGGCTGCAGAGCCTCGATTTTAGGGTTTAGGGTTTAGGGCTAAACCCTAAACCCTAAACCCGTTGAGGGCTAAACCCTATAAAACCCTAAACCTTTAAAGGGTTTAGGGAGCGAGACGCTTTCAAAAGGTAGAAGAATCCTTTTCCCCCAAGTCCCCCTGCAGAGGAGCACACACTTTGGAGAAGGCCCCTTACCCAGACCCCCAAAAGGATCTAAAAAAATAGATCCCCTAAGGGGGTTCCTATAAAGCACCCTTTAGTAGTTAGGGTCCCTAATTAGGGGATCTATTTTTTAGATCCTTTTGGGGGTCTGGGAACGAGGTTCCGTACGCCTTCATTCAGCCGAACGGATCTTGGTGTTGGAGCAATGCTGGCTTCATAGCTTCTCCCGACGGATCAGGCGCAAACGCACCTGCAGAGCTCAAGGGATTCAATGTCCTTGCAGTCTTTAATATCATGCTAGAATATACCTCCCCAATATACCTCCCCCGAAGCCTGTTCTATGATTGTTAAGACCCCCTAATTTATGGGGAATTGAGTTTGCCTTCAACCCAGAACACCGAGCGCCTAAACCACCGAAGTCTCAAGGATCGGATAGTCCCTTGCCCAGACCCCCAAAAGGATCTAAAAAATAGATCCCCTAATTAGGGACCCTAACTACTAAAGGGTGCTTTATAGGAACCCCCTTAGGGGATCTATTTTTCAGATCCTTTTGGGGGTCTGGGTCAAGGCAACTGCATGAACCCCGATGTTCTGAATCCCTGGAGGGTACGTGCGGCTGCCTTGGGGATAGTCGGCTAGCGGTTTAGGGTTTACCTATAGTCTCCTTTGTAGTTCCTTTTTTGGTCGAACCAATTATGTATTAAGGGTTCTGTAAGGTATCCCCCAAAAGGAACTACAATGGAGACTATAGGTAGGGCTTAAGGGTTAAACAACCGCGGGCTCAGAATGATGGAATCCGGCCGCCTACTTTTATCATTGAGGACCTGAGCCCGCAACCTTTGACCGCATAAAGTGCATAGGTGGGTACAAACGGATAATGTAGGGGCCTCAATAATTTGGAATAGGGTTTTGGGGTATCTTGTACTGTTCTACTATAAATAGAATAAGGAACCCCCAGAATAGAATAGGTCATTGTTAAGGCCCCTATATTACACCACCGCCTGCCAAGGATCTTTTCAACCCTTTCCTCGTCCTCGCCCTCACTCGGACTCGCCTGCTTTCAGGGGATCCTTTTTCAGGGAGGGGGGCTCAAGGGAGTGTATGGTTAGGGTTTAGAGCTTGGGGTTAGGTTTTAGGGTTTGGGGTTTGGGGTTTAGGGTTTCAGGTTTAGGGCTTAGGGTTAGTTCTCTAAATTGGGGTCCCTTTCGGGGTTGTTTTTTTAAGTAAGGGTGCCGTGCTTTACTTGAGACCTAAACCAACTTGTCCAGTATGCTGGGGAAGTAGAGGTTAACCTTTGGGAGTATATTGGGATTATATTGGGATTCTAGTACCCCAAAGCGGTTAAAGGTTGCCTGTTCTTATACCGGTAGAACGGAGGTTAAGAGAACTAATGTAGGCCTGGGGTCTTAATAATTAGAATAGGGTTTTGGAGTACAATAAACTATAGCTATAATAGGGAACCCCAAAAAATCGTGTACAGTAGGCAATTCTTAATTATGAGGCCCCTATACTACCCATATGACCCTATAACTGTCGGAATGCTGTCTTCAGGTTATGGGGACGGATCGGCACTAGGTTTTGGGCTTCAGGGCTTGGCTTTACTGTAGGGCTTGGGGTTTCGAGTTTAGGGTTCAGGGTTTGGGGCTCAGGGTTTAGACTCAGGTTGAAGGATCTTACTTAGAGCCTAGAACATGCAATTTGCTGTAGTTCAGGAGTAAGTTGACATGCCCTGAACCCTCGCTGGCCTTTGTAGAGTCACGGCGTGTTGGAGAGTCGTGGCGAGACAGTCGTCGTTGCGGCTCTGGCCGTTCTGGATAGTGCTCGAGTTCGACGTGCCTCATCGTGTCGAAGTCACTTGGGTGATCAAGGAACAGCAAATGCTTAGAACCGGACCATGGGCGTAGGGCGGCGGGGGGGGGGGGAATACATGTAACCCAAGATCTGCAAACTCTAAAACCCTCAACCCCCATACTCTAAACTCTAAACCCTGCCCTCCACTTGGTGTGCCAAGTGCAAAACCGTTTAGTATGCTAGACTCGTTTACGGGTATACGTACTAACGATTATACTAGCGTGTACTAGCGTACTTGTCGTGGTAGTGGTCGTCGTCGTCGCAGTGGAAGTAGAAGTAGGAGCAGTAGTAGCAGTAGCAGGAGCAGCAGTTGCAGCAGCAGTGGCAGTAGCAGTCTCAGCGGCAGCCGCCGCAGCAGCCAAAGCAGAAAGAGCAGCAGCCGCAGCTGCTGCCACCGCGGCGGTGGCGGCGGTTGGGAAGTCGTAGTGCATGGTAGTGGTGGTGGTTGTGGCAGCGGTATTGATAGTAATAAGTGAGTACAGCAGAACATAGTAGTAAGTAGTAGGAAATAGTCGTCTCGTCCGCCATGGTCGACTGCCTTGCACTACGTGCTTGCCAGGTGCCTTCACTCCTTCCGTCCATGGTTTTTGGGCTTGCTTCCCTGGCTGCATGCTCGCTTGCTTGCCGTCTTGCTTGGCTCCAGATAGGAAATCGAACAAACAAGGTAACCCTGAACCCTAAATCCGTAGAAAGAAAGGATGGGAGTCTTTGGGTAGGTAGGTCTGCCGACTGTTGCGTGCTTACCAGGAATGCTTCCGTGCAGCTGTTTGGGGTTTAGGGCTTGGGGCGCAAGTCTCATCCCTAAGCAGGCGGGTCCTAGACTCCAAACCAAGGAAAACAACTCCGGGCAGAGGTAGAGCAATCAGAACAACTGGAAAGCACCATAAACCCCAAACCCTATACCCTAAACCCTAAAATAAATCCCAAACCCTATACCCTGAACCCTAAACCCTAAAAGGCCCTAAAATAAATCCCAAACCCTATACCCTAAATCCTAAAATAAATCCCAAACCCTATACCCTAAACCCCTAAACCCTAAAATAAATCCCAAACCCTATACCCTAAACCCCTAAACCCTAACATCAATCGCAAACCCAAACTGCGTGGGAAGGCGCCGGGGCAAGGCAGGAGCTCGCGAAAAGCCTTGCGAGAGGGCTTGCCGCAGGAGCGCCTCCTGGATGTTGGTACTGTAGGGGCCTTAATAGTTAGAATAGGGTTTAGGGTTTAGGGTTTAGGGTTTAGGGTTCCTTATTATAGTTATAGTAGAAGGGGCCCCCAAAACTCTATTCTCCTTATCAAGGCCCCTATATTGCCCGGTCGTGACTTGGAATTTGTGCTTATGCTTCCAGGGTTAGCCCCAAGTGCAGCTCGCTTGGCAAGTCCCTGATCGCATAAGCACAACAAAAAGGAAGAGCAAACCCGTGGTATCTCTGAATCTGAGCCCTGCTGTACTGCCTTTACCCCGAAATCGAACCAAAAAACGAAACCCCGGACACTGCAAATCTTGCCTCTAAACTCATGAGATCTTATCCTTCAATGTCCTTGGCAAGCCCTGTCTTGGGATGTAGGCTTTAGTGCTTAGGGTGTTTGCGGGAGGCTCGGGGTTGAGGTAAGCTCGGTTTAAGGCTACGGCTGGGGGAATTCTGGGGGGTTTGAGTGGGCTGTGAGGAGTTTGGTTTAGGGTTTAGGGTTTAGGGTTTAGGGTTTGCTCCTTTTCCCATCTTTTCGAGAAGGGTTTGCGGTTTTGCTTTTTGAGGGCGCGTTAGGGGGGGTTAGGGCTTGCAGGGCTCGTGTAGGGGTTTCCTAGCTACATGTTCAGAGTGGAGGTCTGTGGGAACAGATTTGACTGGCGGTCCGTGCAATTGATGTTAGGCTAGGGTGGTGAGTTTAGGGATTTTGTTTTGGGGGTTCAGGGTCACTTAGGGAGTTTATGTTTAAGGTTCAGGGGTTTAGGGTCTAGCGTTCTCGCTCAGGGATAAAGGTTAAGCCTTTCGGGTGGACGTGGAGTTTAGCAGGCGGAACCAGATGCCGGATGTGGTTCTGGAAGGGTCTTAGGGTTTTAATGTAGGGGCCTCAATAATTACCAATACTATATTTTCAGGGTTCCTTATTATGATTATCGTATACTGGGCCCCCAAACCCTATTCTAATTATTAAGGTCCCTATATTAGATGGTTCTGGTTCCTCAACCCTAGACCCTTAAATCTTTAGCCCCTAAACTCTAAATCCTAGATCCGGTTCCATAAGGATCCACAAACAGAACAGAAGCAACCCTCATGTCGTTGAGCTCCGAAGAACAGCAGCGCACCGCCATGATTTCAGTTTTTGGGGTTGAGGGATGCTCAGGGTTTAGGGTTGCTGAGAACTCTTAGCCTAGTTGCCGAGGTTTCTTTCGGGAACAAGGGTTGGCAATTTGGCTTGCCTGGGAAAACGATGAGGGGACGATGGGAAAAATGATGGGAACTGTGAAGCCCATGAGGTGAGAACGTTACCAACTCTGCTAGCTCCGCTACTGAACCCCAAAGATTCAGGCCAGCACTAGGTCTACCCATAGGCCCCATAGTAGTTCCTCTTTGTGGCTTATATTTAGGCTTCTAGGACGGAATCCCCAAAAGGAACTACTATGGGGTCTATGGGTAGGCTCTACATAGGGTTAATGGGCTCTATAAGGCTTAATTACGTTTCGGGTCCCGAAACCCATAAAGCCAACTTGACGAGGCCGGTCTAAGAAAACATCCACGTGCCTGTACGTCTAGGCGGTGCATGATGGTGTTGTGGTTCCGCACCAGTTGGGAGGAGAGCCCCATGACGTCCTGACAGGGCCGTGAGAGTTCAAGGTTGAGGAGACAGGTCTTAACTGGTGTTCGCTGCTCTGGGTTGAGGGTTTAGGGTCTATAGTTTGCTGAGGGGTTTGCTGTATGGAATAAGGTTGGGGCTATGTGAGACGGCTTCGCGTATATTCAGAGTTCGGGCGCTCTATGCCCAAAGGCTCATAGGGCAGCTGCTTCGGAGAACATTGATGTAGCGGCCCTAACAATTAGGACAGGGTTTTGGGGCCCATTATACTATAGTTAGACAAAGGAACCCACAAAATAGTATTGGTAGTTACTTAGGCCCCGACAATAATTATTGGGCTCGTTTCGTGTTGGACACTATGGCACGCCCGAGACTGCAAACCCTTGACCCTCAATGCCAAAGCCCGCTTGTTGGCCATAAGCCTCGAACCGTAAACATGACCTTTAAGTTTGCCACGAAACCCCCTGAACCCTAAACCCTATAAACCCTAAACCCTAAAACCCTAAAAACCCTTCAAACCCTAAAAACCCGAAGCCCTAAACCCTGCAACCTCTGCCACAGCTGCATCGTCTGATGCCCCCGCTAACGCCTCCTGCCACTCTGGCTGGCCACTGTTTTAAATGTGCAGAGGTTTAGGGTTTAGGGTTTAAGGTTTAGGGTTTAAGGTTTAGGTTTAGGGTGTGGGGTTTAGGGTTTAAGGTTTAGGGTTGGGGTTTAGGG